TTCGAGAACAGTATTTATACTGCGACGCGCGATTTATCGTCCGACACGGCTTTTCGCAAACGTGTAACAACGTGAAGCAATTAAATTAATCTATTATATGTTATTCAATGATACGCAATATATACGCGATGATAATGATTAAATTGGTAACATGCACGAAGATTTGAAAACTGGTTTCATATAAAAAAAACTTCCATGTGCATGTATAATAATTATATATAAATACTTATAATTAAGTACAAGTTTCCTCTACCTTGATAAATAAAAAATACAATGCTTTTAAATAAATATTTTTACATGAGACTCAAGAAAAACGATCACAAATTTTGCACTTCCAAAAAACATAATTGGAACTCGTAATTGAATATCCGATGTAGCAGGTTTCTTTCTATGCGTGCAGCAAGTTGTACGACCGGTTGAGTCATCCCGGATAAGCGTTTTTGAACCTGGAATGCATCGTTGCCAGGTGCTTGTTTGCTACCGAAACCGCGAAGTCCGGGGACACTGTCGGCTTCGTTGTCTACGACCGATTTCTCTTGTCGGTTCCTGAGGAGAACCATGGGATAAGAATTCCTACGATCCCTGTCGCTCACAGGAATTTGTACGGTAAGAGCCGCACGCTTTCTTTGTGGCTTTTTGGAAGGAATTTTTATGATCCTTCAAAAGGTTAGATAAAAAAAACAATTTAGTTAATCATTCTTTCAGTAAAACTCGTCGAGGTAAAGCCAATCATGTGCAAAAACTTTAAGAAACTATGATTCAAGTGAGCATTGAACAAATACTTTTGTCAATTTGATTTTTAAATCATGGGAAGCATTCGACATGATTTTTTGCTGAACTTTATTAATGATGAATTTTAATATTGTAATTTTATATTGTATAGTAACAAAGCGAATTTTGCAACGCAGATACATGTGCCTTGTGCATCATGCTACGAGTGCACATGTATGTGTGAAAAAGATCACGTGAGCATTGCATAAGAAATACACCAAATGCTACTAAGCGTTACAACCGTCCTCTGCATAACTTTTGCGACATGATGCGTGCTGTGCGTACCGTATATACGATTCTTCGCTTCTTTCATCTTTTTCTCTTCCACGTACTTTATCTGTCTCATTTTTTCCTGCTCGAGGCAGAACGCAGTCGTGCAAAGAAGAATGCATCGGAGTCAACGCTGTCGATGTTGCTGCAGAATTTAAAAAGCACGCAATATTTTATCCGCTAATGGAACATTGCTTCGATTAAACTGGTCGTCTGGTACGACATGCCACAATTCGTACGAGCATGACGAAAGATTTCTTCCGCGGTAGGTCTTATCGGGACGAGAGTGATTCGGTTAGCTGCGCCGAACATTAAACTAACTCACATCTGAGTCTCCTAAAGTCGCTTTAAAGCTTACAGTACCACCCATGGAGGGAGAGTTGCCAGAATTGCAGCCACAAAGTGCGTTAACGAACTTTTCACTTCGAACGACAAGCTCTTGCGGTGTATGAATGAATGCGTGGGAATATTATCATATTTATATATCTCAACATGTAGAGAGATATTAAAACTGTATCCTACAATTGTCTCATATTTCTTTCACGATACATTTATATGCAAGATTAACCTCATTTCATTGCACACAGGTGTTCATAAACTTTAGCGTATGATTGTAATATAAATGATTAATTGATACTACACACGAGGAATTAATAATGCTTGATAACAGAGTATTTTCTTTCGACATGTCGATCGTCATCATAAACGATAACATCATGAAATAAGAGATCAAGGTACCATCAAATAAGAAAAGAAGATGGGAGATACAAGGAGAGGACGCTATACTCTGCGGTCGAATGACCGCATGGCACGTTGCCAATTCTCATACATCACACCGTGACATAATCATCCTATATTCGTGCCCCACTCATTCGACTACCCATCCTCCGCACCTACTCCGATTCCGCACTCTGGTGCATTACGCTCCGCAGATAGTCTCATTCGTAGCATTACGCGACGCTATCATTGCAGCGAAGCGACTCCTGCAGTAAACGACACCCTGTAACCGCCCACCAGTAACTAAGCATTGTATCATGTATGCTTCGAATGCAAATTGAGAAACATTGGAAATAGCACCTCGCGGATCTCTCGATTACCAAGATTCGTAATCATCGTATTACGGACTCAATTTTCGTCCTCAATTTCGGACTCAAGTATTTTATATATTTATATATCAAAAGTGTATTCAACACAGGATTTTTGTTTCGAGAAAGTTAAATGGAATACGACGCGAATAACTCCATATTAATATTCCTATTTATATTATTGCGATATAATCTGTTTGCACACTATCATTATTCAGAGAATGACTGTAGGAAATGGAAAAGTCTCGTATCGCTTCCATTTCTGTCTTATTCATCATCTCTATTCGTGAGGTACAAACCGCGATTTCCTAGTGCTCTATATTTGAACCAACCTAAATAAGCTTCTTAATCGTACAAGCTCGCATTGTTTAACCTGAATACGATCTCGTTTGTTAAACGACTTTACAGCACGAAAAGACTGTCATTTTAAATTTTACAGAAATTCTTAAGAAATTTATCCATAGGATATATTTTAAGTGGCGCGAGATCTCGTGAAATTTCTTCTTCACATAATGATGTAATGTGAGATCTCATCTATCATACAATACATAATAAAGGACACAGCAAATGAAGGCGTTTGCAATTAATTAGAAAGTATGTCGTCTTTTAATCACATTGTGCAATATATCATTTCGATTGTGAACTGGTTATTTAAAAGAATAAAATACATGCATATAAAACATTTTATTTATATAGCGTGTAACGAAAAACACACAGGTATATAATGTATAAACACTTCAACTTTAACGTACAAAAAGCAATCTAAATTTATTTAATAATACGTTATCGATACATAGAACGATATTTCATAAAGATAAATAAGATTACCTAGATAGAACCGTTTCTCTCCGGTTCTCTACGCGATATAGAAACGATAAATGAAACTATGCATTCGAATGCCACGTTGCAAATAATTACTGACGAACGCGACAACTTGCGTCTGTGGTAATTGAATAACACATTTTTTTTTCTGACAAGTATAAATAGCAACGATAATATTTTATCGGCTTGTGTGCACTACACCATGACGGAGCGGCGAATGTCTAAGCGGCAGCGTATACGATAAATTCGAATAATCGTAAGATTTTTATATTCAACACGTCCGCTACGATAAGTGCTTCAATAAAACATACTCTAGCGCGCAGGTTCGACGGATTAGGCGAGTCTCGTATGTATTTACTCTTGCGCGAAAGTAAAGGCCGTGAATAATAAAACTATAAAGCTATCAATGCGAACTGAAGCAAAGTCATCGCCATGACGGTGCGATTCTTTTAGAAATATATCATAGTATAGAATAAATCTATTGAGAGACTATTATATTGATTATTGATGTAGTCTTACTGATTATAATTTACAATCATTTATAATGATTAATGAAGAAAACAATGTACACAATATGATGAAACAAAATACATATGAAATTATACACAGCTAGAATTCAGTCTTTATTAATGAAATGGACCTTTTGTTATTATTAATTTTGTTGTTATTAAGTATAAGTGCAAAAATTTTTATTTTGCAAGAGAAGATCTATAAAAGATTGTATTATATTCTATAAGCTGATATTTTTTTCTTAGCATATCGTAATTGTAAATTTTTAGTTAAAATTTTTAAAAATTTTAATGTCGAAATTAAGAATGTTTCTATAACGCAGATATTGGAAAATTATGAGAGACATGCAGTTTTTTATATAGTATGAATTTTAATTGTGTGAATTTATATTTATGTAAAACAAAAATATTTTTAATAATTATTATCCCATACTTAAAAGGTCTCTCCCTTTTTTTCTTGTAAAATAAATTTGAGAAAAATATGAAATATTATTTTATCCATAATAAGATTTAAATATTCTTCGTAGCAGCAGCTGCATCGGAGGCACTATTAGCTGCAGCAATGGTTCCTTTTCGACCATTATTTATAGCAACAGCATCAGATGCACTGTTTGCTCCGGCATTAGCGACTCCTTTTCTATTGTTTACAGTAGCAACAGCATCAGATGCGCTGTTACTTCCGGCAATAGAAGTTCCTTCATATTTATTATTCGTAGCAATAGCACTGCTTTGACCTGAAGCCGCGGCATCGCTAATTGCTCTTCTTCTTCGATTATAGATTATGCGATATTTATCTTGTTTCAGCCATAGCTTCTCCTCTGAAGGCTCTTGCCAGTTATAGCTTCCAGGATTGTAATATTCCCAAATCTTTTGATTCTTTTGCTCTTTTATAGGATTTAATGAAATTGCACTAGCTTGACTGTTAGCAGTAGCTACTGCGCTTTCGTATTTACTACCATGTACTCCACTGGCAGCGTTAGCACTAGCTGAAGCTTGTGAATCTGTGAATGCATCATTCTTTCCATATGTCGCACTAGCAGCATTGGCACTAGCAGCAGCTTGTGCAGATGCAGCTGCATCATTCTTTTTATATGTTATACTTGTTGCTCCCGCATTAGCCGAACTTTGAGCTATTGTTTGCTTATATCCAGATTTTTTTTCATTTTTGACTTTATTATGAAAATCTATAATGTCAATTATGTTATAATTATCAAGTTTACCCCAATTAGGTCCGATTGTTTTACTATTACTTACCACTTGTGCAGAAGCGGCACTATTTGCTTCGGTCTTACCTTCAGAGTGTAAAGAGCTAGTATGATATATTCCCCCATCATGATCATGTAATTTATATATTTTTGTACTGTGATCTTTGCCATATTTATAAATGTCAATATTATTCTCATTGTCTTTAACGTCACTGTTCAATGCTTTATTTGCAGATATTGCACTAGCTGTTGCACCCGCAGCTCCAATAGCTTCCACACTTCCTTGATGAGATGCAGATGCGACATTTGCGCTGGCTGCTGCTCCTGCAGATACGGCAGATGATTTACCTCTTTCACGTGCGGCGCTTATTGCACTGGCGATAGCCGCTGCTAGTGCATTAACTAACGCATTTCTTCCAGGAGACTCACTTGCAGCACTTGCGCTAGCTGCTGCTTGTGCATTAGATTCGGCAGATGATCTTCCTCCTCCACGAGATGCACTGACGACATTCGCAATAGCTGCTGCTTGTGCATTAGATTCGGCAGATGATCCTCCTCCTCCACGAGATGCATTTGCGGCATTCGTGCTAGCTGCTGCTTGTGCATTGGATACGGTAGATGATCCTCCTCCTCCACGAGATGCACTGACGGCATTCGCACTAGCTGCTGCTTGTGCATTAGATTCTGCAGATGATCCTCCTTTTCCACGAGATATACTTGCGGCATTCGCGCTAGCTGCTGCTTGTGCATTAGATGCGGCAAATGATCCTCCTCTTCCACCAGATGCACTTGCGGCATTCGCACTAGCTGCTGCTTGTGCATTAGATTCGGCAGATGATCCTCCTTCTCCACGAGATGCACTTGCGGCATTCGCAGTAGCTGCTGCTTGTGCATTAGATGCGGCAAATGATCCTCCTCTTCCACCAGATGCACTTGCGGCATTCGCACTAGTTGCTGCTTGTGCATTAGATGCGGCAAATGATCCTCCTCTTCCACCAGATGCACTTGCGGCATTCGCACTAGCTGCTGCTTGTGCATTAGATTCTGCAGATGATCCTCCTTTTTCACGAGATATACTTGCGACATTCGCGCTAGCTGCTGCTTGTGCATTAGATTCGGCAGATGATCCTCTTCCTCCACGAGATGCACTTGCGGCATTCGCAGTAGCTGCTGCTTGTGCATTAGATGCGGCAAATGATCCTCCTCTTCCACCAGATGCACTTGCGGCATTTGCACTAGCTGCTGCTTGTGCATTAGATGCGGCAAATGATACTCCTCTTCCATCAGATGCACTTGCGGCATTCGCACTAGCTGCTGCTTGTGCATTAGATTCTGCAGATGACCCTCCTTTTTCACGAGATATACTTGCGGCATTCGCAGTAGCTGCTGCTTGTGCATTAGATTCGGCAAATGATCCTCCTCTTCCACCAGATGCACTTGCGGCATTCGCACTAGCTGCTGTTTGTGCATTAGATGCGGCAAATGATCCTCCTCTTCCACCAGATGCACTTGCGGCATTCGCACTAGCTGCTGCTTGTGCATTAGATTCGGCAGATGATCCCCCTCCTCCACGAGATGCACTGGCGGCATTCGTACTAGCTGCTGCTTGTGCATTAGATTCGGCAGATGATCCTCTTCCTCCACGAGATGCACTTGCGGCATTCGCAGTAGCTGCTGCTTGTGCATTAGATGCGGCAAATGATCCTCCTCTTCCACCAGATGCACTTGCGGCATTCGCACTAGCTGCTGCTTGTGCATTAGATTCTGCAGATAACCCTCCTTTTTCACGAGATATACTTGCGGCATTCGCGCTAGCTGCTGCTTGTGCATTAGATACAGCAGATGATCCCCCTTCTCCTCGAGATACACTGGCGGCATTCGTACTAGCTGCTGCTTGTGCATTAGATTCGGCAGATGATCCTCTTCCTCCACGAGATGCACTTGCGGCATTCGCAGTAGCTGCTGCTTGTGCATTAGATGCGGCAAATGATCCTCCTCTTCCACCAGATGCACTTGCGGCATTCGCACTAGCTGCTGCTTGTGCATTAGATTCGGCAGATGTTCCTCCTTCTCCACGAGATGCACTTGCGGCATTCGCAGTAGCTGTTGCTTGTGCATTAGATGCGGTAAATGATCCTTCTCTTCCACCAGATGCACTTGCGGCATTCGCACTAGCTGCTGCTTGTGCATTAGATTCGGCAGATGACTCCCCTTTTCCACGAGATACACTTGCAGCATTCGCACTAGCTGCTGCTTGTGCATTAGATTCGGCAGATGATCCTCCTCCTCCACGAGATGCACTGACGGCATTCGCACTAGCTGCTGCTTGTGCATTAGATTCTGCAGATGACCCTCCTTTTTCACGAGATATACTTGCGGCATTCGCGCCAGCTGCTGCTTGTGCATTAGATACAGCAGATGATCCCCCTTCTCCTCGAGATACACTGGCGGCATTCGTACTAGCTGCTGCTTGTGCATTAGATTCGGCAGATGATCCTCTTCCTCCACGAGATGTACTTGCGGCATTCGCAGTAGCTGCTGCTTGTGTATTAGATGCGGCAAATGATCCTCCTCTTCCACCAGATGCACTTGCGGCATTCGCAGTAGCTGTTGCTTGTGCATTAGATGCGGCAAATGATCCTCCTCTTCCACCAGATGCACCTGCGGCAATCGCACTAGCTGGTGCTTGTGCATTAGATTCGGCAGATGATCCTCTTTCTCCACGAGATGCACTTGCGGCATTCGCAGTAGCTGCTGCTTGTGCAAATGATCCTCCTCTTGCACGTGCGGCGCTTATTATACTGGCGAGAGCCGCTGCTCGTGCGTTAGCTAACGTACTTCCTCCACGAGATGAGCTTGCAGAGATCGCACTAGCTGCTGCTTGTGCATTAGATGCGACAAATGATCCTCTTGCACGTGCGGCGCTTATTGCACTGGCGAGAGCCGCTGCTCGTGCGTTAGCTAACGTACTTCCTCCACGAGATGAGCTTGCAGAGATCGCACTAGCTGCTGCTTGTGCATTAGATGCAGTAAATAACCCTTCTTTTCCACGAGATATACTTGCGGCATTCGCGCTAGTTGCTGCTTGTGCATTAGATACGGCAGATGATCCCCCTTCTCCTCGAGATACGCTGGCGGCATTCGCACTAGCTGCTGCTTGTGCATTAGATGCGGCAAATGATCTTTCTCTTCCACCAGATGCACTTGCGGCATTCGCACTAGCTGCTGCTTGTGCATTAGATTCGGCAGATGATCCTCTTCCTCCACGAGATACACTTGCCGCATTAGCTGCTGCTTGTGCATTAGATTCAGCAAATGATCCTTCTCTTGCACGTGCGGCGCTTATTGCACTGGCGAGAGCCGCTGCTCGTGCGTTAGCTAACGTACTTCCTCCACGAGATGAGCTTGCAGAGTTCGCACTAGCTGCTGCTTGTGCATTAGATTCGGCAGATGACTCCCTTTTTCCGCTAGATACACTTGCAGCATTCGCACTAGCTGCTGCTTGTGCATTAGATTCGGCAAATGATCCTCTTCCTCCACGAGATACACTTGCCGCATTTGCACTAGCTGCTGCTTCTGCATTAGATTCAGCAAATGATCCTTCTCTTGCACGTGCGGCGCTTATTGCACTGGCGAGAGCCGCTGCTCGTGCGTTAGCTAACGTACTTCCTCCACGAGATGAGCTTGCAGAGTTCGCACTAGCTGCTGCTTGTGCATTAGATTCGGCAGATGACTCCCCTTTTCCACTAGATACACTTGCAGCATTCGCACTAGCTGCTGCTTGTGCATTAGATTCGGCAGGTGATCCTCTTTCTCCACGAGATATACTTGCCGCATTCGCACTAGCTGCTGCTTGTGCATTAGATACGGCAGATGATCCCACTCCTGCACGAGATACACTGGCGGCATTCGCGCTAGCTGCTGCTTGTGCATTAGATTCGGCAAATGATAAAGCTGAAGCGCTAGCGCTCGTTTCACTCTGCGCGGATGATTGTCTTTTTTCATGTGCATTTGCTTGATCGTAAGCTACAGCGTTAGCGAATGCTTTGGCGTCACTGTAAATGGTATATTTTTCTTTCGTATTGCTTGATGCATTTGCTTCTGCATTAGCTTGCGCATTGGCTAATGCTATGTCGTTCTCAAATGCGTATGTTAAAGACAAATAAGCTATAATGAAACCTAGAGTAAGCTTCATTTTGCTGAAGCTTTGGTAACTGATACTGAATACTAGCAAACCGACGGTTTTATATGCATACGGTAATTGTAATAATAAACATTTCTTGCCTATATGACTCAGGATGTAAATTTCCTCGTGCCCCATTGTTGCATGCTTTTCAACTGTTGCAAATGTGTTTTATTTTAGATATGCTACTTCGCTTTATCGCCCTTTTATTATTACAGCCGAATCTACAAGTCAAAATCAATACTTATTTCATATGTTTTAGTCGTTTTTCTTAGACTCAATACTTATCCATAACACATTGGTTGTTGTTAAATATGGAATTATGAAAATATATTTATGTTATTACAATTCATTGCATCCTGCAAAGCATGTTTTGTATATTTTTACTTAAATTAAGATTTTTGTTTTCTTTTTAATTAGATATATCATGTTTTATCTCAAAATATAAAATAGTAATATTAATTTTGTGAACTATATTCTTGTCTCTATCTTCTTGTAATTAAATATTTGTAATTTAATTATTTTAATTACTTAAATTTAGCATAATTAAGAAATATATAATATTTTTCATTATTTATTTATTTTTAAATTATTCATTTACACATGGTTTCTTTATCTAAATAAAGAGACACACAAATCTAATGAAGAGACACAAAATACAAAAATAAAGTTAAGTTCAATTATGTTAGATAATTCGAGATAACGCAGAAATACAATTTAGCATTCGAGTTTTTCTACAATACTTTTTGTCAAAAATATTTTAAATTGAAATGTTCCGTGTCACAATGTCTTTAATGACAATGACGGCGTTTGCTTCAATATTATGACCGAAAATTTGTGAAAATGACGGCCGGATTTAACTAATCTGTTTGATTACACATTTTCAGATACACAGGTGATAATGGCAGTATGCTAATTATAGCTTACTAATGTGCGCAGCTGGATATGGTTGTATCTTCTCCTTTGTAGCTGTTGCATTTGAAATTATATGGAGTAAATAGTAATGCTTGTGCTTGTGTATGTGTCACGATATAAGGTATACATATCTATTCTAGCATCCGGAAAGGATTTGCCGTTAAATAGTACCATATTTACGTAAAAGCTTTAGAGCGAGTAATTATGAACGAATTAGGAGGTCATTCGCTGGCAATGGGTCATATTTGTTGCCACGGTCACCGCAAAGTTTTACGTGTGATTCAACGCGGAAGGGTAGGTATATTAACTGGTTATATATCAAAGAGTAATAGAGATCCGACGCACACACCCATGTTGGTTTGCTCATATGTTGTTCATATTAACTTGCATGCATTACTACTGAAATTAAATCCGTCAGTAATTAGCGGCATTATAGATACCGATATCGGAATACAGCGAGGAATACGGCAAAGTATCAGTTGCGATGAAAATATGAGCAATAAAATTTATTGAAAAGCAGAAGAAACTCTCTTGCTTATTAATCTCTTCTAACAAAAATATAGAGGAGGAAAATTGTTTTTTTTTTTTTTTAAATTGGTTGCACACACCGGTTTCTATAAACGCGCGTAATCTTCATCGTCAAGGATAAATGTTTGCTGAATAATATATGCGCCATTAACGTTATCTGCAATGTAGCCAATGTTGTCGGATAACGATTATTTGTTGCAATTGCGCAAATCTGCAGGGATCATTAGGATCCGCTAGGAAGTATACGTGATACCATCTCGTGCATTCATGAAGCTAGAAACTCATAACTGACAGTTTAGAGTCCATTAGCCAAGCCTAATTGCCTGGCAGTTACCTGAAATACTGTGAGTTTTCGGATTTATTATGACCGCCTCTAGTAATTAGGAATTTAACCTATTATCGTATCGGTTTGTGCTCACAATGCTTAATGCGTCATGCAAATTAGGATTCTATTTGCATATCGCTGTTATTCAGGTTATTATGGCGTATATATAAAAACTTCTCGTTCTACCACTCGATGAATAAAAATAACAACTGAGAGTATTATAATATGTTATTTGTGGCTTCCACGATAAATATCGGGAGATAAAATTGGTGCAGTTTTATCGTATCGAGGTAGTTCCTCGCGTGCTTGCGAAATGACTGTAAGACTGTCATCTTAATGGGATAGCAATTACTTAAATTGCATTAAATGAATATTATCGCGTCGAGTCTGCTATTAACCCAAATTTGCTCATCAAGTGATACACAACAAGAGGTAATAACTGTCGATATTTTAAAAGACCTTTGAAATAAATTGCATTTCTTTATGCGCAACATTTATCTCATATTACATTGAACGTAAAGACAGGTTGTTTTTAACTTTGTTATCTAATTTTACAATTTTTCTGATTTAATTATATTATTTAATAAAATATTATTATTATTTTATTTTTTTATTTATGTTTGTATTATTAATTTTACAAGTATTATTAAAAGATAAAATTAATTCTAGAATGATTTGTATAATATAAGGCATAAATATAGGATATTGCAGAAATTACGACAGTTTTTAATTGAAAACATATTTTAACAACGAATATTTTCTTATCATAAACTCTTTTCTTATTATAATGATTATGATTAATAATGCAGATATATAGTAGTAATATAAGAAAGAAAAATATGAAAGAAAAATAAAAGATAAAATCACTTACTTGATCGAAAAAGGCTTATCCAAAATAATGTAACAGGAAAATGTTATAAAATTCTTATCTCCAATACTTTGCAGCAAAATACAATTCATGAATAAAAATCGAACTGTGATATAAACAGAAAAGAAAATACAGCTGCATACTATCAATTTCATCGAAGTCATATGCTTTGCAGTACAGGTGGGACATATCTGAAACGGGCGATTTAGCAAATATTGACTCGCAAGAAACAGTTTATCTCGTCGCTGAGAGGCGGTTCCTATAAAAGATGGATCGAACAAAGCGATCAGTACATGTCTCATTCATACGTGGAACATATATTTCTGCCTGACATTTATCGATCTCGACGCGATTAATTTCACCGAGATTGGATTTGTTAATTCGATTAATTGTCTCTTATCGAGGATACTACTCGTAAAAACGTAAAACTCGTTTGGCAATGAGTCACTTTCTACTCACATGTTACATGCTTATCTTTGACGCAAGGACCACTTTTTTTTTTCTTCATCCGTATCGTTGTCGCACAGTCATGCCTGTCGCACGCGCAGAAATGCGGCCGAGGCGTGAAATAAGGTGGGTAACGTGTAACGTTGTATTTTTCAGGGAAACATTTAGCCCGTCGTCGAGAAAATTCGAATTAATATTGATCGTTGTATAACGGGGCGGAAGATTCGATAATGCGAAATATATGCACGAGTACTGGCGGTTGTACCTCTGCTGGGGCTGACGCGCGAGCAATCGTGCATTTTTATCAGGATGGTGCTTCTCGTAAATCCGTCGGGGATGTTGAGGTAAGTGCTCGGTTGCATGCATCGTTCGATACCTCTTGTCGCATTCTCCTCTTCCTTCCTCTTCTTCCACTTCTTCTTCGAGTCTCTCGCTTCCTCGAGTAATTTAAAGTCAAAGTCCCGCACCCTCTAACGTGACGTCCTGATAGAAAGTTACACGTGGACGCGCGTAAGTCATCCGATGTTCTCTCGGTGCGAT